CCCACAGAGAAGTTCTCAGTGCGCGTATCACGGAGAACATGGGCCTTTCCAACCTGTATGACCTCCTTTAATAAAGATAGAGTTACTGCAGTTGACCTCTCGTGAAAAGTGGATCTATTTGTGGTTTTATTCTGTGGCCTGAATAGAAGATATAACAGAATGGGCACTGTTCGCGGGACGTGGGAATTCTCCCTCGCTCTGACTCATGTAGAGCAGCAGGGAGGGGGAGGAAAATGGACTCCACAAACCCAGTATCCAGTTTTGTCATTTAAAAAAAACCTTTCTGATCTGAACTTTGTACCTTTAATATTGCAGAGAGTATTTACAAGTTTGGTAAAAGTCCATACTAGTGCTAGAGAAAGATAAGGCTCACCATTGTACTAAAACAATGTTGTGGTGCCAAGACAGTGTATTTATGTTTTTTTTGTCGCAAGACTAACAGTGCCCATCAAACTTTGTTTAATTTGGTATTATACTAAGTAAAGGAAAAAATACCCACTCATTCCCTAGGTCACTGTAAAAAATGCCTTAAGCTCAGTACACAACTACATTGCAAACCAGTCCATTCGCATGAGGTATTGCTTCAAGCAGCCGGGAGTAATACAGTGTGGTGAAATTACCAATGTGGTGGAAGCCAAGGGTTTTTTTTTTGTGTAGAATAGAAAAGATAGGGATTTTTTTCCCCATTATGATCAGACATTATTTTGCCAGTATGTTTTCTAATGTGCCTTGCGGAGTTTCATGGTAGTTTTCTCAAAGCTGGATGAAAATTTGTGTTCCACCATTGTGGTCAGTTGATTCTTAGCATGCATAAAAGAAGCATCTTTGCCAAGTTTTCCTTCAAGCTTGTGAAGTCGGAGTCGTGGGAGGAGGACAAAGCCTCAGCAATCTTTGGGAGCTAACACAGAATTGCAAACTGTTTATTGCACCTGGCACTTTCTCAAAATCCGCTTCATAGGGGCCAAACCACTCATTTCCTCCAGCAGATAAGGAGGATGCTTTCTTTCCCTGAGTCAAAGCTCTGTGACTGTAAATAAGGCAGTATAAATGTATATATTTAAAGTGTACAGCTAAGGCGTGAATTGTGTCTGAATTGCCTGAAATGAGATTTTTAAGCACACTAAGCAGGTATTAAATTGGAAATAAAGGCTTTTTTTCCCCCTTTTCAAGAGCATTCTGGTGGTTTTCAGGCCCACGGCACAAACTTTACCTCCGTCGGAGCTCTGTGAGAGAGGAAATGTAAGGAAGCGTGCCCCCCCGCCCTGGTTGTTTCAAGGCAATGAGTCAGGACCCTTTAATGCAAGTTTCTCGACAAGCAATTTTTTCCTTTCTACATCTGATGTCATCATTTCATGGATCTTGTTTGATGTACATAGTCACAAGTGTTGGTCTGTCGGGTAAGGCCCAGGAGCTAACCAACCCTTCATTTTCTTGTCCATCATTTTCTAATTCTTCATCCTTGGGAATTAATTCAGCAGATGTAAATGTGGAAATAATTCTGTATAATCTCCTGCTTTAAGGCAGTCTTTCCCAGATTTGGACAATGCAGAGCAACTGTGTTAATCTCCCATCAAGCAGATGGAAGCAATTCTCTAGAGGAGAATCCATTGATTGTTCGTTGAAATTTAAACTCTCTATTTTTCAGGAAATTCCGGTGGTTTGAATTCATGTTTCCACCATGCATTGAAATAAGATTTTTAATACAGGCAGGCTGTGCAATTGTTTTCATATTTGCTGTATTTTATATTGTCATTTAATACAAAAGTCAAAGCACTTTAACTTTCATGTATTAGACTGTAACTAAAAACAAAGCAATGGAGTTGAAATGAAGGGTTCTAACTTTACCAAAACTAAATATGTGGATTTAATGAAAATTAAGTGTTGTCATTGTATTCCCATTAAAAAAAAAAAAAAAGCTTGAAGAAAATGCTGGTTCCACAAAAACATTGTCATTCTAATTATTTTTCTCAGTTGTCTAGGAAAATGTTCGTTTTCTTGGCAATTTTGGATTTAGCTTTTTCTTTTGCCACAGTGCGGATTTTTAGTAGGAGCGACTCGGCTGACTTTTAAGAGAAAACATAACTCACCTGAAATTTCTTGATGGGAAATCTAGCAAAAAACCTACTTACCAGTGAATGCAATGAGACTATGGAACGGACTTCAGAGTCTCCTGTGAGAAGCATGCTAGGAGCAAAACATCTCAGAGTATATTGTGGGGGGGGGGAAAAAGTGGAAGCTTTCCGTGGAAATGGGCAAGTTTAATAAGCCCTTTCATCTGTCACGTCTGTGACTTGAGGTTTGTTTCAGCCTGAAATAAAAGCTTTATTCTTCAAGGGCAATAACAGCATGTTTTCTGAAACTCCTTGGCTTTCAACAATAGAGTATAATATTTTGGTTCACCATTGTGTTAAAACTGCAAGTGTTTTTCTGGCGTCTTTGGCATAATGATTTATTAGTGTTGACACTGCGGGGTTGTTTGTCAGTATAAGTCAAAAGCTCAGGTTTTGCTCCTTCTGGCAGATTACATACAAATTATGCAAATAGCTATAGTGCAGGTTATAACCTAATTATATTATACATCTTGAACAATAGTAATTTCTGTAAGGGAAAGCTGTCTTGCATTTTCGTTGCTAATGTATTTTTCTCTCCTTTTTGTATTCTACAACAGAAACCACATTAAAAAGTGATAGTAGGTGTGTAGGTTTTGCTGCTGTGCAGCTTATTTGCTTGGGCTGCTAAAATATGTGAAAGCAGCATAGCAGCCGAAGTGCCTGTATTTATATGGTTAGGGGCTTTTCTAATGCAAAACTGATTCTTTTTTTCAGGGCTTTAACAATCTGTTTATAATAATTAGCAATAGACTGTAACCACTCACAGAATTACATAGAGGACTAGGAAAAAGGAATTTATTTATTTTGTTCAGGTAAATCCAAAGTGCAAATTCAAGATACTTTGTAATCTTACAGCTCATATTTTTATATGCCAATTTATAGTCTACTTGTGAGTTATTTTTTTTATACATAAACCACATGCTTTTAGGAATAAGTACTTGGTTCGTACATTTCTCTCCAACATTTTCTTTAGCTTTCGCTTCAAGTGAAATTCTTCCTTTTCGTGTATTCACGTCTCCCAGTTGCGTTAATAAGTGCTTTTTCTGTGTCTGTATTCCAGCTTCAAATCAAGGCAGCTCCACGTAGTTCCCTGCTGACCTTAAGGAAGTGGAGGTTCTAATTGTGGAACGAGGGCAATTTCAGTCCAGAAATCTCTCCTTTGGCATCAAATGGCTGAAATCGCCCGATGACTTCTTTTTTTTCTGAAAAAAATTAACTATAACTTTTGACTTAATTCCTTTCTTGCTTGCTATAGATATTCGTATGCATGCATGTAGATAAGCACATGCATATATATTATATAGACTCGGCCAGCACAAATACTGGATTAAGAGCAGCGGTTGGACCTCTGTGTCCGCGCATCTTGAGACAGACTTTCCATCTGCAGAGTCACAGGTTGAAACGCAGATCGAGTCAATCAAGACAAAGCTGACGTACTGAAAAAATGAGTCTGATTCATCGTCCACAGAATCCGCAGCCTAAGGAGACCACTGCTGGCCTGGCCACCCCTGGTTTCCCTATCTGCTGTGTTTAGCAGGGGATGAGGACCAAGCTATCAGAGATGAGTCAGGGTTGAGGTGTGGTGGCAGGGCAGTATTGGGAGTTGTGCTTTATCGTATCTGAGGTCTGAAGGAAGGCATCTCATTTCAGGACTTGTCAGCATTTAATTTATACACGTGCATGCACGCTTAAGGCTTAATTAAAAAAATAACCTTCGTATCACCTGTGTGCCATTTAACTTCATTTACATGTCGACAGGAGCTGAGAAATCTAGCTACGATTTTAAGCTTCTTGAGTCTTGTTAGATACTGCTGACTTAATTGAAGTTTTTATACCGAGTGTAACATAACATCTCGTAATGATCTAACAGAAATACAAGCAGTGCTACAGAGTTCATTTGGGCTGCGTGTCCGATCAATCGAGTCAATCAAGATCGAGTCAATCAAGACGAAGCTGATGTACTGAAAAAATGAGTCTGATTCATCATCCACAGAATCCGCAGCCTAAGGAGACCACTGCTGGCCTGGCCACCCCTGGTTTCCCTATCTGCTGTGTTTAGCAGGGGATGAGGACCAAGCTATCAGAGATGAGTCAGGGTTGAGGTGTGGTGGCAGGGCAGTATTGGGAGTTGTGCTTTATCGTATCTGAGGTCTGAAGGAAGGCATCTCATTTCAGGACTTGTCAGCATTTAATTTATACACGTGCATGCACGCTTAAGGCTTAATTAAAAAAATAACCTTCGTATCACCTGTGTGCCATTTAACTTCATTTACATGTCGACAGGAGCTGAGAAATCTAGCTACGATTTTAAGCTTCTTGAGTCTTGTTAGATACTGCTGACTTAATTGAAGTTTTTATACCGAGTGTAACATAACATCTCGTAATGATCTAACAGAAATACAAGCAGTGCTACAGAGTTCATTTGGGCTGCGTGTCCTTGTGTTGTATTGCTCACACCTTATTAGTCTTCAGCAAATGTTCCACTTCTCCTCAGTTTTGGCAAGCTGCTCAGAACACCATTTCCTTCTTTTCATTCTGGTGGAGTCCAATTGTTCTTTGCTTATACTACGTTAGCCTTTCCCAGAATTTAGCCTGGAGTTTTTATACACTGGGGAGTTTCCAGTGTGTTTAGATTATAAAATGATTTCCTAGTGGGACTGTGACGGAACCGTGCTTTCAGATAATACTGTCAAACTAGATTTCAGTGCTGTTTCTCTGGGGGGTTTTTTTCAGGATTTCGGTGCTGGGTTTCTGTGTTTCTTTGCAGTAGTTTGCTATAAAGAAGTGATGTGTACAATCATTTTGGCTCTTGAAAGTGGTATTTTTCAAATCACCCTCCCTAATAGTTAGGATCGTCCCAAAACTTTTTCTTCTTCTGTTTCTCATTAGGTTTGTGTAGATCAATTGGTGTAAGCAACTTTCTTATCAGCCATCTTGAGCAACTAAAGGAAGACTGTGTGATTACTCCACACGTTAATCAGGTGAGTGGATAAATATATTTAAAGTATCTGGCTTTGGTGGTTTTGGTTCACAAGCTTCTCCCCACCCCTGTGCCTGAAAGACTACACCCCAATAAGCCTCCATCATACAATCTCTTCCCTTTCATTTCTATATACATATTGAAAACCATTCAGGAAGATGACCTGAAGTGAGAGGGGGAAGGGGAAAAAAAGAAAAAAAAAGTCCTTCCTCCTTTCTTTTCCCCAGTTTCTCTGAGGCTACTTGTTTGTGGCTGCCTTTAAGGCACAAACGGTCCATGTGCCAGCTGTTGACGATAAAACAGTTTAGAAAGAAAATTCAAGGAGCGCTGAACATTTAGCATCTCCAGGGTGAACAAGGTTTTGGAGAGCCTGTGTTCAAATACTATATATAATTCCTCTAAGGAACACTGAAAGCCTCAGGTGATTACGTATCCATGCAAGGGTGCTGTTTCCCTTGCTCCCCCATTATTTCATATTGATATTTTAAGATGCATTAAATTCAGGGAACTTCTCAGGGCTGCAAAAACCCTGGCAACATTTTTTTGCTGCCCTAAGCAGATAAAAAATGGCCACCTCCACACCGGCAGCCTTCCAGGACGCTGACAACTATTCCCTTGCTGCAGTTCTCTGCCCGCAGCTGTGCTGGAAGTTCATGCTCCCATTCCTGCCACCTCCTGCCAGTGAAAGTCTGCTCACGCTGACACAGAGCTGGGAACTGGAATGGATGAGGTGCAGGCGCCTGCTTTTCCCCTCTGTACAGGTGGTGAGGATTTCTGGCAGCTGCTTGTGGTTTAATGTCATAAACAGCCACAAAAAGGTCACTCAGAATGTGACTGTCGGAACCTAACACCTCTGATTTTTGCTGTTCGCTAGACTAAAGGTTACTAAAGGACAATTATGTTAAATTAACGTAAAAACATATGAAACACTTAAATTGAATTATTCAAAACAAGCCATTGAAATATGCCTTAATATGTTTAAGAACCGATGAGTTTGCCAAGGTTCAATCGTGTCCCCTTTTCAGAAATACACATCTTCAGAGTCTTTAGTTTGGCCTAAGTTGTTACTGCCTGTTAAATGAGCATAGCCTTTCCATGTCCTACTAAATCACTGCAAGGAAAAAACAATGTACTCTTGGATATGTTTTGAAATTTCCCCTTGCTCACAATGTCAAAATGTCTTACTGTGTCAGTAGTGTTAATGGAGAAAAGTTGTTTCTTGATAATATTCGATGGCATCTTGGGTTTTTTCTGTGTCTGAAAAAGTGGAGATGAAAAGTTGAGACGGAGCAATACAGGGGGTGGAGGGTGTCCCTGCTGTAGGCAGACAGTCATTTCTTTAAGATCATGCACAGCATTATTCCAAATAAACACCAAAAAACCAACAATTTAATGTTCAGGAGTCTGATGGTGAGATTATTTAAGCATTATCAAATAACCATCGAATTCCTAAATTTAAACTGAGAATGGAAGTGCTATACTGAATTCTTATTTCACTGTCCGGAATTTATAATACAAAAGATATTTGCTATATTTATGCATAAAATAGCATACTCTTTCAATGAACTTCTAAATGCAAAACATTTGTAAATAATAATTGTACACAAAGTCTAAATATTTAAGAAACAAGTGAAGGAAAATCACTTCCTTCTTAGCTGTGTTGAATCTGCATAAAGAATTTGGGTGATTCTTACAACTCCAACAGTCCTTACAATGTTAAAATTGAAAGGGTTTTTTTTCCTGTGAAGAGGAGGAAGTAGGAAGGCAGGAGAAAGGAGATTCTTTATTAGACTTTTACAGTCTTTGCAAACCAGGTAGCAAGCAATGCTTCTGTTTTACAGACCAAGTTGTAAGTACTGCTTCTCTTAAATGATGATAAATATTTTCTCCTAGCATCATGTGGAATGAAACCTACAACCTAGAAGTTACAGGTTTGTATTCCAGAGTTTGTAATTGACTTGGTAGTAGTAAGTTTGGATTTATGCTCAAGGAAGTTTTTGAAGGGTCTTATGCCTGTCACTCATTAGGGGAAAAAAATTACACTTTATAAGAATTCAATGAATATATATGTTTAATTTAATAAAGTGATACACTGAAACCAAAAATAAACTGTTCCCCTCTGAATTCCGTGTAGGAAGGCTCATCAATATTTTTTTCTACTTTTATTGAAGTGGAAATTACTGTGTAATGACCTTAGAGAGATTTAGTAATGTCGTTAATATTGCCATTAATATTGAGCTGTATTATGTAAATGTGTACAAGGTAGACATGTATTTCAGTATTTTGAGGCATTAGGAAACAACCCCTTTGTACATCAACTCACCTGTAAAGAAAACACTTCTAGGCTCCTATTTCAGTTCTATGAAGAGAAATAATTGCAAGACCGTGCATTCCCACGGACAAATGGACTGGAGTCCAGATGCAGGGAGGCTTTACCGGGTGGAAAGAACCCACAGCAGGGCGGAAAGAGTAAGGCTTTTGCATACCATCATCCGAGGTATGACTTTCTAGGTCCGTGTGGCAGGACTGTTATTAGGCCCGGCTTCTCCCCATTGCGCTATGGCCGCCGTAAAACCAGCGCTTAGTTCAGAGCTCCCCTGTGCCTGACCCAGTAGCAGTAGCAGCCGCGAAGAGTTCTGCAATGGGAACTGCAAACTGTTTTATTAAACAAGTGCTGGCTTTTACACACAAATCACTTGGTGCAGAGTGCCAGAAAAGATCAAGATCTTCCCCTACCACCACCGTACGACGGACAGCCCTCGCCTGAGAAGAGTTCGGTGACTAAAATAGCAAGGGTGGGGCAAGACGGGAAATGGGAATTATTATTTTGAGGGGAAGCACATGCCGGCCACTCACCCTACGCCTCTTCTAGCTCAGGGTGCTCGTCCCTTGCATTCAGATGCTGCCAGAACCTTCCAGAAACTTTTCACAAGGAAAATATATTCCAAAGTGCTTATTTTATTTTATGCATTTGATTATTTTAGCAATATATTTAAGAAGAAAAATACTTGCCACTACCAACATGCAACTGCACTCGCCAAAATTCAGCTCACAAAATTTGGGGGGCCTTTAATTCAGTGAAAGGCACAATCTTCCCAGGGGGGAAGTAGCTGTTGCCATGTATTCTGCTTGTGAAGCAGGCAGGTGGCATCTCAGCTTTACGTGCTTCTGGTGCAACCAGGAGCTGTGCTGCCTACAAGTCTTAACTAGACCAGCAGGTAAACTCTGCTTGCAGTTATATTGGTAATGAATGCTGAGTAAGTCACTGATGCCATAGGGGTACTGCAGATTTTTCAGCATTTGATCCTAAATACATCGTTCTTTATTTAACATTTTCTAGGCTATGCTATTTGTTACACTTAGTGTAAAGAACGTCGACTAAAATTGCTAATTGCTGTTGTCATAATCGACTAATACACCCAGCTTGCTCTTTTTTCCCCTCATAGTTTTGCGTAAAACCAATGAGAATATTTTCCAGTCGGCTCAGGTGCAAACAAGTGAATAACTGTATGACCTAAACTCCGGTCTTACACATACAAACATGACATAGAAAGGCTACTCAAAGGTCAAGAAACATCAAAGGTTGAAGACATGGATGTGTCTGCTGCTTGAACCTTGTTCCCGAGTCCGCCTAGTAATTTAGATCATAGCAGCTTTAGGCTGACTCAGCCCAGCCTTGGAGGGGCACAGTTTTTTCTTAGCGCACATTGAATGCCTGCCAGCCTATTGTTCCCGACTATTGTTGTCTGAAAAGACAACATGTACTAAAGATGAGAACAGGAAATGTTCATTTGTCCTCTTTGTGGCAGAAGAAATTTTCCAGATTCCATGGGTTGAGGTAATTGTTCAGACAAGGATTTTTCTTCAAAAAGCACAAGAGTTAGATCACTGGAACAACGGTGACGGCCAATCACAAAAATTTGTCACATGATTATGTATTTTATAAATGAAAACACTCTGCATTTTCATCTGAATGCAGAGGCAGGTGTGCTTCTTACAGTGTACAATCTCTGAAATACTTATTTAAATAACACAGGAATATTACAGAGGTTCTCTTTTGGCTTTTGCTACATGCCAGAATACGTGGCTCTTCGGAGATCCTTACTTTCCAATAACTTTGCTTTCCTTTCCCTTCCAACAACCATGTCTTTGCAGCTTGCTACTTTTCCTCTTTTAACTGGTTCTTGGCAATCTGTGGTCTTCCTCCAAAGGGTCTCCTCCGCACTTCATTCCACAGCGTCACTGCTTCCCTGCAGAAGCTGCTGGTGACATCACGCAGAGAAAACAGGATTTTCCACGTACAATCCGTGCCAACAGGCTTTGCTGCCGAGGTCAGGCCCTTATCCTAAGCAAATTGTTCTGGTCGGTCTCTTGCAAACCCAGTCCCTGCCCAGCCCCCTCCCCTTGCCTGTGCAACTCCAAGATCATTAGTAAAGAAACAGGAAAGGAAGCAGATTTGGGGAAGAGAAGGTTGTCTCAAATCACCAATGAAAATGACCCGATGCTGACTTCCACGTCGCGTTTGCATGTATTTCTCAAAGTCGGAGCAGCACAAGAGTGCACGTTCAGCTGCAGGTAGGGCAGACAGCTCCTCCACGCGCCTTGTTTCTGGGGGAAGCATAAAATAGGTAGTAAACTATTGTGCCAATTAATGGCAAAATGCCTGTGGATTAATACCCTTCACATGTCTTCCAAAACTGGTAACTTGCATCTATCTCCCAGAAGCAGCAATTTCACTCATGTTGTATTTTTAAAACGAGAGAAAAAATATTTTCATTTTTCAATGATGTTTTCTACTATATGTACTCTCAAGGTTTTTACTAAAAGTTTGTTTCCGTTTATCTAAGGCTGAATACCACCCTTTCCAAAGACCTCAGGAGCTGGTGGATTATTGTAGGAGCAGAGATATTGTTTTTGAAGGCTACTGTCCTTTAGCCAAAGGTGAAGCACTCACTCATCCTAGTATCATTCAGCTGGCAAAGAAATACGGCAGAACTCCGGCACAGATTTGCATACGCTGGAGCATACAGGTAATGGAGGGTGGTAATAAAAACGTGTCTCCTCTCTCAGGCAGAAAAAATGCAAATAGTTCGGGTTTTGTGCCTCAAACCAGAATTTATACAGAAAGTATTTTTGCCTTCAGTATGTTGATATCGTGCGAACTAACTGTGTTGTACTGGAAATTTGGAATGTGGTACAGAAAGCATGGCGGTATGTTAAATATGCAGATAATCAGTAGAGAATAAAAAGAACCACCAATAAAAGAGATTTTTTTCCAACTAGATGTTACAAGCAGCGTGGGGCATCGTTCCATCTCTATCACTCAACACGAAGTACTAAGCAGTGAAATAGTGCGTTAAGTTGCCGTAAACCACACAATCTGTGGGGGAATGTAATGCAGCGTATAGAACGGCAATTAGAAATAGCATCTAGAAATGTCAGTGTCCTCTGGAAAAAATGAAACTAAAACCTCAGAAGACATGAAGAAATGTCTTGAAATGTTTTGAAGAGAGATTATTTTCTTTGAAACTGTGTAGATTTTAATGACGAGAAGCATTATGTTTTTCAGAATGGGATTGTCACTATTCCAAAGTCCACAAAAGCAGAAAGGATAGAGGAAAACTGCAAGGTAAGATTTGGTTATGCACTCGAGTCTGACTACCATCCGAATTACTGGTTTTAATACTTTGGTTTGCCTGCCCATTTTCCTATACCAGTTTTATATTGGGGCAACTCCGTTAAAATTGGCAAATTACAGTACCATGAAATTACTACAATACAGTAGAAAACCATAATTCACAAATGTCAGAAATCAACTGGAGAGCTAATCACTGGGTGTAAAAAGGATACCCCTAGAAAGACCTTTCATAGTTGATTTTGATTATTAATATTTTCGTTTATTACTTGCCTGATTGTAGAACATCCTAATGTGGTTATTAGGGCCTCGGTGTGGCAGGCAGAGAGGTCGCACGGAAGGAGTTTGTATGCTGTGCATGACCCTGTATGCAAGCTGCAAACCTCTCTCGGGGATATCTCAGGTGCAGCCCAGCTAAGGAGGTGATGGTCCTGCCAGAGCTGACTCTTCCCCAACCTTCATCCTTCTACCCAACTCACAGAGAAGGTCCCAGCGTGAAGGGGATGGACAAAGTGGGGAACCAATGAGGATTGGCAGCATGATTCCCCGCACTCTTTTTTATTTCCTTTTCATGCCACATGTTTTTAATTCATTACTTCATTTTTTTCTCTCCGTTTCTCTAATCTGATTGTGGGAGGAGAGGAGAAACCACAACAACCTTATTGTTACTTCCAAAAATATCGTAGGGGTATGAACTGTTTGGCGAATCAGGAAGGAACTTTGCAAGAAGATAGGAAACTTCTGTCTGCCAGTTAAATCACTCTGTGTGTGTGTGTAGGTGTAAATCAGCGTACCTGTAATGAGGCTTTCTCCTGGTGGCTGTGCCTGTTTATCTAGCTCCTGCCTTGGCTATTCATGCTGCCAGCACCCTGCCTTCCGTGGTACGAGCACGCTGCTTGTGGTACTGTATTGTGAACCAGATCAGAGAACAAAACCAGGTTAAAAACCCTTCCTTATTGTATTTTGTTTTATTTTCCCCAATGGCGTTTTAAATCCAGATTAATTCTATTTTTGACAGAGTTTACTCTATGGCCCCACCAATTCACATTTCGTGCAACTGAGGGAATGTGTTGCAGCAAAACTTAAAACACTTAGGATGGAGAGGAGGAGGGGAGAACTGGCACAGCTATCGGATGCTGTTTATTGCATCTCCCTTTTTTTTCTTTCCCCCATGCCAGTGTGTTGGTCAAGTTGGTGAAGGCATGGGCCTCGTTAAGCCCTTAGTATATAATATATCATAGATAGTATTTCTGGTTCTGTGACTGGTCGCTGGTTTAGGTTTAAAAAGCTTGAGGGCTGAGGTTTGACTGCAAGGGTCGTTCCAGCAGACAGTGATTGCTGGGTAATGCAGGATGGAGCGGTTCAGGCTCCACAGGATCTTTTGATGGAGCGTGGAGGAGCTCTGACAAAGACAAGAGACCAGCTTACCAGTTCTGAAGTGATAATGTCTGAATAAGGCACCTGCTAAGAAAACACCGACGCCGTCATGCCCGTTGCAGGTCTCGCCGCAGGAGGCGTGGGTGGCTGTAAGAACCTACGCGTGAGGCAGGTGCTTGCTTTCAGGCTCGAGGTGGTACTGAGGCACCGTAGCACTGTATCTGCTTCTGTGTTAGCTGATCCCCGAGTGTTTTGTCTAAGTACACATAGAAAAGATAGATACAGCCTTCGGTTCGCTAGCTTTGTGAATGTCCTGATACCTTCTAATAATTCTCTTTGGCTAAAGTTTTGAGGAAAAGAACTGTAACACTCTAAACTGGACTTTGGGACAAAAGTGAAATACCGAGCTCAGCTTTCCGGAGGGGTTGGAGTCCGGGTATTCGTACACCTCTGGCAGTGGCCGTACAGAGCGCCGTCAAAATCAGCTTTGATACTGCCGTTGTCCTGGACCCTTGCCTGAGGCCAGAGCGCTACAAAACCATCTTAACAGAGTCTACAAATAAAAGTGACTCTCAAAAGGAGCAAAGGACCCCGTGGAGCCTGTCAGCTTAATGGAATATTTGTCTGTCACAAAGTATAAGAAGGAATTTCCAGAAGGAAAAATTACAGAAAAATTCTGCCTCACATTCAAATGAATCTTGTTCAGTGTAAATAACAGAAGCACTCCTGATTCTCTCTATGTTCATTATGTTAACTATATATGCATTCCCATAGGTGTTTGATTTTACAATAGCAGAAGACGATGTTGAAATTCTGAATGGAATGCACGATGGCAGACATGTTTCCTGGGACCCAAGCCCTGTTGTGTGAATGAAGGTTTGAGCTTTTTCCTTTGCACCAATCAGTGAGTCGCACCATGTAACTTAAATTCAGGGAAGGTTATAATAAGAATATAATGGTAAGATTAATGTCTGCTGTTAATGATAACTGATTTGAAATCTTGAACATTGGTAACAGACAACAGATATTTTTGAGGGTAGCACTTTTGTACAGAGATCTGGCATTTCCATCTCAAATCCTGATCTGTAGTTCATTGAAGCCCATGCAAAGCCTCCTATGGATGCCATTGACCCTGCATCGGGCCATTTAATCAAAGAGCATGAGGAGATATCCCTGTGTTGAAAATGAGAGAAAAAATGCTACCAGCCAAGAATGTACAACACAGGTGTTATGTACAAAATAATTTGCCAAGTACTTTGTTAGAGGGATACAATGTATGAAGAAGAAGAAGCTGGGTGAAAAAAAAATGTTAATACCATTATTATTGCAGTATTTATACTGTACAATATACTGCAAATCTCCATCAAAAATATCATCTCACTGTAATAAGCAATGTCTGAGCATCACCAAAAAAGTTTTCTGCATATTATTGCATAGTAATGGCATTGACCCAGAGAGTTCTATGCATAGTATTTACTAGCCTGTAGGTATAACGAAATAGAAATCTTTCCAGAGAAGTCCATGGACAAATAAACTGCATGGCTAAATGCTGAGCAGCAAGCTCTACGAGCCCAAGAGCTATCTTCGTTATCACTGATCTTATTTCTCTTCGTGGAAATCCTGGTGAGTTTTGTGTAGCTTTTAGTAAGAATTAGTTTAGCTAATGTCCAGGAAATCTCATGAAGAGACTTTCCTCAGATTTCCTTATAAAATATGTACCTATAGAGAGAAAGATGTAGATATAGACATATGTAGTTTACAGATCTGTTCTGAGAAATATGTCTGCAGAGTCTTTTATCAGCCAAGTATTCAACTTGTGGTCACATTGGTTTGATATTTTAGGAGTTCCTGTGTCTAGAAAGGTTTGGAAAATCCATGATTTATATTGTGTGTGGACTTCCTGAGGCAGTTTTCCCAGTGCTGTTCTGCTTTAGTCATATCGTGAAACAAAGCTCCTTAGTTTTTTATCGAGAAGTGCCTTACAGGAATCGTAGATTCTAGCCTCCATCGGTTTGTCCTCAAAGTAGAGCTTTTGTACAGCTTGGCTAAAGGACAGACAAACATATCTTTTTGACAACAGCTCCTCGGAATAATTGGGGTTTTTTTTCCCCTGGTAAACATTTCTGCAAAAATCTGCCTAGATTTGCCTCTGGAATCATTAATGTATTACTTATTCTTTTAAAACACAAGATAGTGTATGAAACGCGGCGCTCACTAATACCTGTATAATGTATTCTGTTCCAAGGAGGATGCACACGCTCCACAGTAAGGGTTATTTTCTGGAGTTTCGAGCGTGGCCTGCAGTTTGGGGTGCTTCAGGATCTGCAAATGTCACTTCAGGTGTCTAAGAACAGCTATGTACCTGGCTTAACTTCAGTAGTTCCAAACAGTAGGGCTTATTTATAAAATGAAGGTAGTTTTTAGGCTTTATTTTAGCTTTTGCATAAAATTATGGCATGACTAAGTGAAAATTGGAAAGATTGCCCAGAAATAAACCTTTCTACTGGTGGTCATCAGCTAATCCTGCTTTTGAAAAGTCATTTTATAGAACAATACCTTGGCAATATGAAAAATAGACCTGTTGCTGTGCTGTTGAGGGACTCCTTGCTTCGCAGTGCACCTGAATTCATAAAACAAGGACTGGAAGTGAATCGTGTGCCTCGTCTTCGCTCACTGTGCCTTTTGGGCAGTGAAGACTTTCTCAGAAACTACAAAAGAGAAGTCCGAGGTTTACCTCTAGTTCTCTCTCGAGAAACAGACATCAAGATACGATTTCCAACACAAATGCTGCACACAAAGCGAACCAAATCTTCATGTATGCCGAATTCTAGCTTCAGTATGACCAGGACAGTATCGGCTCGGGCTAGTTACGTGGCTAGAAGTCCCATGGTGGTCAGACCAGCTCTGTTTTTTCTGCACCCATTTCTGACCGATTACCTCCCTGCTCTGAGCTAAACAGAACTAAACCAGAGTTTCTTGCTAATCCCCCGCATGGATGGCTTTAGGCTACAGTGAGGATGGCTTCCGAATTCATTGATACGTTTCATTGTTCCCTCTGTCAAAGGGATTTTACGACGGGTTTTGTGTCTGCATCTGCTTTCTCTAGGAAGTCAAGCCACCATTTTCTCTGATCTAGATCACGGTATCTAAGCAGTACAGGGAGTAATGAAAGGAATAATCAGCTAGAAATAGTATTACTAAAAAAGCATTCTTCTGAAGGAGCAGTTGGGGCAAGTTACAGTTTTAATCTGGTATTTTCCTAACTGCCTTCAGACTTAACTGGTTTTGGTTCAGGACTTTTTTCTGGTGGGTTTGGTGGGTTTTTTTGTAATCTTTCCTAGCAATCCCTTTGCTACCAGGTAGTGGCTTTAGAACTACGGAAGCTATGTACAAGGTCGAGCGTGATTTGAGGCAACAGAAGCTTTTTTAGTGGCAGGACTCAGCTGACCCACGCTGGTTTTCTGCCAGAAGCTGTAACTGCCCCCAGAGACTGGAGCCCTGCTCTCTCCTGTGTGCTTGGGATCCATCGCTGGAGCCTCTTCCTCTGAATATGGCATTCACCAGGTTCATACTGTGGTAGTTAATTTAGAATTAACACGGAGCAAATCCTCTTTTCATCAGGTTGCAGAGGGAAAGACTGACTCAGTGGACTCATATTTTATGCTCCTCTCTACAACTAAACTGATGTGTGGTAGGTAGGTTGCTTTTTAAGCAAAGGCTGCTGAAGAGTAAGTCCACATCACCTCATCTAAATGAAAGTTTCCAAACTACAACTTTGATCGTAGTATAAAGAAATAAGACAATGAATAAGAAATTGGAAAGTGAACAGTAGTGAGATGTAGGGGTAGCAGTGAGGAGTGATGTTCTGTAACAGAAGCGGAACCTCGAAGACCAAAAGGATATAAAAGTGCTGAACATAAAAAAATCAAGAAGTTTAACTCCATTTTTTGTTTCTTCTTTGGTCAGTTAGCCTGGAGGGGGGCATTCTCTAAGATTTTTTTATTTTTTTTTTAAAACCTCAGAATTCATCCCTCAAGTGAATTCTTGGAATCATATGCATATTCTTCCCCAGGGCTGAAATTCCTCCTCTTGTCCATATTTCTGTAAGACATCTCTGGAGAGAAAGCTTTTTCACCTTTCTACCATGACCATTTTTAAGATGTAGCAATGGATCCACGTTATCGGCATAACCCATCAGCTTGCCGATGGGAACAGGGATTACACCTGAATATTGAAGGCGCTTTTTCTTCCATAATTACGTAGGTCGTTTATGGTAGCGACTGACTGGGGCACTCCTTTCTAATTGAGATAAACCACTATTTAACGTAAGATGCAATTCATCGGTGTTATCTACCCAAGTGCGATCAGCCACCTTTGCAGGAGCTGACTCCCTTGCAGGAGCTGACTCCCTTGCAGGAGCTGACTCCTTTGCACTGTGACTCTCAGTGGAAGGGAACTCTCCTGAAACCAATAAGGAAAGGAAAAAAATAAACTGAAAGTCGGTGGAAAGGGTGAGGCCGTTTTCTGTGCAGCCAAGTAGCTTCCTGCCTGACTCGGAGTGGCTCCCTCTCTCCTTTTTCTTGCCTATTTCTGAATTTCATCTTTTGTATTACTGGGGATGAAGGCACCTAAGAACTTTTCACTGGAAGGTAACGGGAATGGTTTTGTAAAGTGCGTACTTCAGGAAAATCTTTTTAAATTGGGCTGCAGAAGCGTTTCTACTGCACCTGACCCCCCGCTTCACTTTCAAGACACTGTTTTTCTGACTAGCATGTGTAATAAAGAAACCGTAAGTTCACAAATCCACTAAGCCAAGCAGACCGTGTAATATTCACCCTTCTTTCTGCACTTTGGTTAACACCAGCTGATTTTCATTTTTTAAAATAGCAGTGGCAAACTGTTCTGACAGGAAAGCTGACGTTAACCCCACGGCTTTAAAAATGGGGACAGAGGTGGAGTAGGGCTTGCCGACGCTGACCGACTCCTTCCACGGGGCCACGCTTCGAAGCTCATCTCTGACCATAGGCGTGTCGGGGAAAACCAACCCACGGGCCAACCTCCTGGCAGTTTCTCACGTCGCTGTGCTGGCCGTCTTCTTCTGTACTTAATCTTTTGGCGCTTTTTGCAGCCTCCATTAAGATGTCTGCAGGTTTGAAAGAAAACATCGAGTGTTTGGCACTGCCTCATAGGGAGCCTGTGTTATATTTGTGATAGAAATGATGCAGCCTCGATGAACGGCTGCTTATCCCTCTGCAGTGTCACATAGGCCTAATTACAGCTGCCAGGCCATTATAGGACAGTAATGACTTCGAAGGGACCAGAGCATGGGAACTATCTCCAAAACTTGCCACTACCCGTTGGGAAAACAAACAAACAAGCACAAAAAAAACCCAAAAAACCCCACCAAAAAAAAAGAGGTGCACAAAGCCTGAAATGAATGTAAACCAGTGACGCTGGTATCGCCTCCCGGTGCCGTGCCGTGCACCGTGAACCATTGCAGGCACGGCCAGCGTGTGGGATGTGCTTCTGTGAGCGACTCTGCACAGGTCCATTGTACCAGATCTCAGTCGCTGTGCCCAAGAGGAATGTTTATGACCTTCACCGTGGCTTTGCTAGCCAGTGCCCGTTGAGGACCGGTCTGTAGCTGAACAGGAAATTTGAGGACTGTACTAATAGGGAATTCAAGAGTATGTCAGCAGCGTGATCATCCTATTAATGAGTGCTCTGATCTTTCTCCAGCAAAATAGATTTCCAGGGCTTTCTAGATGAGGCTTCAAAATTGCAGTGTAATGAACTAGGGTTAAGTTCATAACTCGGCCATGAAATTTGGAGCAGGGTGGGGGGGGGGATGCACGGTTACTTTCACAGTTTCCCGGTAACAAGGAGAGCAGAGATTGTTAGGTTGTTTTGCTGGGTTCTGTTTTTCTTTTTTCTACAAATTCATTCTTTCCGACTGGTTCTTCACGACCTGGAATTCATCCCACTGAATATCCATATGTACAGTCTTGCCAGGGTGAATTTACAGTAAATCGCTTGCTTCGGGCGCAGTAGAAAGGTGGTAGGAGATGCACCCGAAGCAAAGCTGTCAAGGTCATACCTATGCGGTGGTAAAAATTCACTTTCCTGATGTTGAAAAAATATATATTTAATGGGCTCGTTACATTAATGAAACAGCAACCAGCCGTTCTATATCACACGGTTTGTGAGATTTTTGCATGATTATCATGAATGCCTTATAAACCAGATATAAGAACCTTTGATTAATCTGAAAAATTATCACAGGTGGGTTTGTGTCTTTTTTTTTTTTCAAGAAATGGTTATTTTACTGCTCCCCCCCCAATATTACAGGTAAATAATATCTGTAATCTGCTAAATAACTGCAGATTTTCCATCTAGGACTTCTCTTCCTTCAGCACAGCGCGCTAGCTCAGTTACCATGCCCATTGATCCCTTCAGATTACCCGAACGGGAAACCTACAGTAGGGCTTCAGCTGCCTGGTCCCTATCACTGGAAGAGAAAAATAACTTCCAGGAAGCTTTCCAGTGCTGCAGGATCCAGTTTCGTTACTGTAGAACTTCTGCTACATTTTACTGCAGATGAAAACACCGTACCTGGTGGGCAGAGGTACGGGAGTGCGTTACGGTTTGGGGCGCGATGCTGTGCAGTAAAACCGTTGCTTGTCCCTCTCTCAAGTACTTCAGTTCTTTCCACGTGGAGTTAAGCTTTTCCTAATGTTCTGTTCAGTTTAGCCAGCTAAAAATAAAGTACAGACCCTCACAAAAGTGAATGTAGCAAACTTTTTACAACGGCCTTTTAAAACAAAAAAGGCCATTTAATGACTATTAAATTCATGGATATCAAGAATTTAAAATAAAACCAGACCACCTAAGTTAACACAAAAAAAACCCCAAAAACCCCACCAAAAAAAAAGAGGTGCACAAAGCCTGAAATGAATGTAAACCAGTGACGCTGGTATCGCCTCCTGGTGCCGTGCCGTGCACCGTGAACCATTGCAGGCACGGCCAGCGTGGGGGATGGCCTTCTGTGCACAGGTCCATTGTACCAGATCTCAGTCGCTGTGCCCAAGAGGAATGTTTATGACCTTCACCGTGGCTTTGCTAGCCAGTGCCCGTTGAGGACCGGTCTGTAGCTGAACAGGAAATTTGAGGACTGTACTAATAGGGAATTCAAGAGTATGTCAGCAGCATGATCATCCTATTAATGAGTGCTCTGATCTTTCTCCAGCAAAATAGATTTCCAGGGCTTTCTAGATGAGGCTTCAAAATTGCAGTGTAATGAACTAGGGTTAAGTTCATAACTCGGCCATGAAATTTGGAGCAGGGTGGGGGGGGGGATGCACGGTTACTTTCACAGTTTCCCGGTAACAAGGAGAGCAGAGATTGTTAGGTTGTTTTGCTGGGTTCTGTTTTTCTTTTTTCTACAAATTCATTCTTTCCGACTGGTTCTTCACGACCTGGAATTCATCCCACTGAATATCCATATGTACAGTCTTGCCAGGGTGAATTTACAGTAAATCGCTTGCTTCGGGCGCAGTAGAAAGGTGGTAGGAGATGCACCCGAAGCAAAGCTGTCAAGGTCATACCTATGCGGTGGTAAAAATTCACTTTCCTGATGTTGAAAAAATATATATTTAATGGGCTCGTTACATTAATGAAACAGCAACCAGCCGTTCTATATCACACGGTTTGTGAGATTTTTGCATGATTATCATGAATGCCTTATAAACCAGATATAAGAACCTTTGATTAATCTGAAAAATTATCACAGGTGGGTTTGTGTCTTTTTTTTTTTTCAAGAAATGGTTATTTTACTGCTCCCCCCCCAATATTACAGGTAAATAATATCTGTAATCTGCTAAATAACTGCAGATTTTCCATCTAGGACTTCTCTTCCTTCAGCACAGCGCGCTAGCTCAGTTACCATGCCCATTGATCCCTTCAGATTACCCGAACGGGAAACCTACAGTAGGGCTTCAGCTGCCTGGTCCCTATCACTGGAAGAGAAAAATAACTTCCAGGAAGCTTTCCAGTGCTGCAGGATCCAGTTTCGTTACTGTAGAACTTCTGCTACATTTTACTGCAGATGAAAACACCGTACCTGGTGGGCAGAGGTACGGGAGTGCGTTACGGTTTGGGGCGCGATGCTGTGCAGTAAAACCGTTGCTTGTCCCTCTCTCAAGTACTTCAGTTCTTTCCACGTGGAGTTAAGCTTTTCCTAATGTTCTGTTCAGTTTAGCCAGCTAAAAATAAAGTACAGACCCTCACAAAAGTGAATGTAGCAAACTTTTTACAACGGCCTTTTAAAACAAAAAAGGCCATTTAATGACTATTAAATTCATGGATATCAAGAATTTAAAATAAAACCAGACCACCTAAGTTACAGAACGCTAATACCAAACAAATGCCTGCTTTAGCCTTTGCCGTGTTCTCATCACTTTTCTTTTTTTTCCCTCCAAACCAGGTTTTTGACGTTAATCGGAGGGAAGAAGATACGGAATTTTTGAAGTGAATATCAACAGGAAGTTAATTCCTCTAGCCTATCCACTGTGGAAAGGATAATTTAAAACGAGATTGTTCTACACTGCAAAAGTGATGTGGCTGAAACATGACTACATTGGGAACTGAACAGTAAATTAAATTGCTCTCTTGGGTACTCGGAGGGTACCTAATAAATATTAACCAATAATCAAAAATCAGTGCCAATGGTTTGTATTTACTGTCATGTTAACGAATCAATAAAACAATTTAGTTTACTCTTTTCTGTGTTGCTTTCTTACAGGTACAGCCGTGCTTACTCTCGGCAGTCTCTGCTCTTTCAGAACTTTCTCCCAGTGTGGGTTGAGCTGTCTCACAGTATTATAATGAAGTTTCTTCACCTGCATGTGCTTCATTTAAGGTCTCATTTTAACCCATTTCAACAAATCGGTTTGGGGTTTTTTTTTTTTCGTTACAGGTTTTGAAAGGGACTGGTTGCTTCAAGGCACAGATAGGAGCATGCTACAATGCGTGTAAATCTTGGGAAATTATTCCAAATATGGAATATTTGTTCCAGGATTGCAGCAGAAATCTGCATCTGACTTTTTTGGTGCTGTTTTTTACGTTTCTTCTAGTCGTGAGAATTTTGGGGCATGCTGCAGGCCACTCCTGGTGCTTTCATGGTGAGCAAACCTGTTCTGTCGGTCCTGTCTCGGGGATCTGCTGTCGTGACCTGGCACGTCGAGGAGGAATGGCTCCGGTTTGTGGCCTAGGCTGTGTCAGGATGAATCAAAGTACGTCTGGTTCATACAAAGAGTTTTGAAGGTGCAGGAGAGTAACGTGTTGGAGAAAAATCCTTTGCTAAGCTGTCTCGCAGGGATTTTGTGTCTCTTCTCCAAGGGCTGATGCGCAGACGCTTCTCTGACGCAGCCGGGAGTTGCCCAGCAGTGCTGGCCCGGAGCCAGCCCGGCCTTCTGGCGGTGTCGGAGGCCACCGATCCGCCGGAGCGCAGGCTTTGGGAGCACCCCAGCTGGCAGCTTCTCTTCCAGCAGGATCATAGCGTTTTCCTGCAAGGAAACTGCCCCGGGACTACCCAGGTTTCTGAAATCCCCACCACCGCCAGTTCTTATAGGAAGTGGCACACGAACTTTGGTTGTCACAGGCAATTTTTTTAAAATTTTTTTTGCTGTTTGGTGCCAGACCCTAAGACCTGAGTTTCTGCTCATCCTCAAAGCTCAAGTGTCTAAGAGCATACACATATTCGGGATCCCGGTGAACAAAGGCGCCCGCCTCTGTGCTTGTGGACATGCTGCAGAAGGATTTTTTTTTTTAGCCAGTTTACCCAGTAAGCGGCTCTTGCGCACCAGTTTGGTGTCGTGATGTGCACAGCCCTTCCACGGACATTCGACCGAGACCTGCGCTCTGGTTGTTTCCGAAACGGCGCATGAATAACACCACGTTGCCCTTTTCTCCTTAGCCCGCCCGGAGGCGATTCCGGAGGCGAGCCCTGCAAGGAGCTGTACGCACCCTGGATCTCTGCAGTGCATTTTGTGGCAGGACACGCTTCCGTAACGCCGGACCTGGCAGCTGGGCAGGTACAGAGGCGAGAGTTGGTGTGCTGGCAGCGGGGAGGGAGTGCAGCCCTGGTGTAAACGCTCGCCGGCACGCTCTTGGGAGAGTTGGCTGGACCAAACCCAATTTACCTCTCTCTGTGCTTCAGCCCTCGTGAGCAGGCTCTGTGGTTTTAGCCAGCCTTGGGTGGAAATCCAGCCGGGCCGGCTTCATTTGCCTGGGCAGAGTGAGGCTGTGCTTCGGTTTCCTCTCTGCTGAGGTGTCAAGAGGGCTTATAAAGGCGTGCGGTCATCTCATTTTAATGCTGCTTTTTGTGATACCAATACCCAGGTGTTTGGAGTGGAACTGACATTGCCCCGGTATTTTATACGGCCTCTGCCAAACGATTTGTTGGATGTCCCATCTCCGCGTGGGAGCCCTCTCAGCTGGTCAGCCAGCAACCTGAGCGCCCCGTACGACTGCTGGAGCCCTGAGTCACTCTATCCTTTCATTAAAGCGTGTTCCTTTAATATGTTCCTCTTGCATAAAATTACCCGAGAATTACTTCCTAGAGGAAAATGCCCAACGAATGCACTTTATATTATTGAGTATTTTCTATAAATTAGCTAAACAAGGAGGAAAGCTTGAAATATCTAGGGTGTGCCAGGCAGTTGCAGGGGATGCATATGTCAACCTCAGGCATGATTTATCTCACGTGCCTTTTCTGACAGTTGCAATTTAACGGCTGTATTTTCCTCCGAGCTCTCGGGAGGCCGAACATCTTGTCAAGTTTCTAGCTTTATGGTGGAAGAGTAAATGTCTGCTTGCCAGTGTGATTTATCTGAGTCACTCTGGGAGAGGCGCGGAGCAATCGGAGCGTGACTAGTGGCATAAATAAAGAGCGGGACCCTTCCTGAGGGCAGCGTTACTCTTGCTGCCTTTCAGAGGAGAGCTGCTGCGCCGTAACCAACTGCTGCTGCTCATTGCCGGGTGCGATGCTGTGAGCGGAGACCTCACGCGCGGCGCTCCGGTCCGGCGTGATGCTCCTTTGCATTTCAGCTTGGAGTTACAGTGAGCGGAGCAAGGAAGGGCAAGGAAAAGTTCCACAGTGAGGGCAGCAGTGGACCAGTGACAGAGCTGGCCCTTCACGTCCGCTGGGGTGGATTTTTTTTTTTTTTTAATAGTTGGAAGAGAGAAGGGGTTATAAAACCTAAGCTCATTTCTTTCTCAGTCTCTCTGTAATAGCGGCGTTAGCACTGTAAGTAGTCGTCATCACCAGTTTTGTCGTAAAAAAACAATTTTAAACTTTTTTTTGTCGTACTTTCGAACGTGCGGCACCGCACAGCATCCTCTCAACGTCCCAAGACTTCTCCGC